CCAGCCCCCTAGGCCAAGACACCCACTCCCTGCCCCTGCCCCCTATCTGGACACTGAGAGGCCTGGCTCCTGCAGCCGCTTCCCTTCTCTGGTTGCGGCACAAGGAGTGCCCCCCTCTCCCCATATCCTCTGCCCCACTTCCCCAGGGCCTTACCGTGCCATGGCAGGATCATGTCCTCACTGCATCAAAGCTCCCATGGCTTCTGCCCCACAGCCATGGGGCTGGGCACCTGAAGGGCAGCAAAGGAAGGAGGAGGCTGTAGTATCACTCAGTGGATTAAAGCAGGGGGAAGAGGGAGCCCCCGCCCAAAAAAACCCCTATCAGGGCAGCCTTTCCCCACTCCTCCTCTCCCCCCCCCCCCCGAACTATTTCAGGTTAAGTCTTCTCTACTGGGACCCCCACAGAGTAGGGGCTGGTTACTCTGAGGCTTTGCCCTGACCTGTGTGCCCCCCCAAACCCCTTGGCTGGACCTCTGCCCTATAAGCGCTGCCACAGCATTAGGGAGGAGGAGGAGCTGCCCCAGAGAGGACCCCTCCCTCCTGCATGCCATCCTGGAGCCCCACCTGCTCTCTTGGGGGTGGCAGCAGGGGCAGGAGGGAGAGACCCCGTCAGGCTCCTGCCACGCTGCCCTCCTGAAATGACCCTCTGCAGAAGCCCCCTCCTGCCCTGAGGTTGGGGGGAGAGAGCCAGGCCCCCAGTCGTCCAGCAATTCCTGGCACTCAGAAGAAAAAATAAAATCCAGAAAGTCTGGCAGGGAGAAGGGAAATTCCCAAAAGGAGGTGGGTGGGTAGATGCCTGGGTGCAAACTCCTTCCTGGGGTGGAGTTCTAATAAAAATAAAATAAATAAAATAAAAATTTATTGCTTATACCCCACACCATCTGGCTGGCCCTCCCCAGCCACTCTGGGCAGCTTCCAACAGAATATTAAAAACACAAGAAAACATCAAACAATAAAAGCTTCCCTAAACAGGGCTGCCTTCAAATGTCTTCTAAAAGTCAGGTAGTTGTTTATTTTCTTGACATCTGATGGGAGGGCGTTCCACAGGGAGGGTGCCACCACTGAGAAGGCCGGCTTGCTGGTTCCCTGTAACCTCATTTCTTGCAGTGAGGGAACAGCCAGAAGGCCCTTGGAGCTGGACCTCAGTGTCTGGGTAGAATGATGGGGGTGGAGACGCTCCTTCAGGTCTACTGGGCTGAGGCTGTTTAGGGCTTTCAAGGCCCTTCCCCTGCTCACACCAACTGCTCACGCCGGCCAGGCAGCGAGCCCCCGCGAAACGGGGTCGACTTGGGGCGGGGAGCGTGGCTTGGCAGCTGGGCTGTCAAGAACTGGGGGGGGGGGGTGACCTAGGCGCAAACGGAACCCCCGACAGGCGCCGCCGAGAGGCGTCTGGAGCGCAATCTGAGCCAGGACTCGGTCCCGTGGGGTGAGGGGAGGCGCTCGTGGGTCCAGCGACGGGCCAGGGCAGCCCTTGGTCGGGCGTGAAGGCAGCCGGGTCTGCTGGGCGCCACAGCGGAGGTGGGAGGCGAAGAAGGCGCAATAGACGTTTTAGGAGATTCCTGCTGCATCGCAGCGGGTTGGACCGCATGGCCCTCCGAATACAATTCCTTGATTCTATGAGATGCTCTGTTTGGTCATCCATACAGCAACAACCTTGCGAGGGGGCCGATTTCGAGGGCCCCGCCTTGCAGCCGTGGGGGGCCCCGGCACCTCCCCCCTCGCACGGGCGCATCCAGGCTGGACCAGGGAGCCGGTCGCCAGAGGGACCCCCGTCGAGGCAGAGGGGCCTCTCCCCGCAGGCTGCTTCCTCCTCTCTCTCGCGCGCGCGCGTGCCAGCCAAGGGAGGAGCCGCGCCCAGCCTCTCCGCCCCCCAAGATCCTCCGGTTCCCGGGCCAAGCGGCCCCCAGGCGGGGCAGAAGGAAGCAGGAATGCGGCCCGGCTGGTCCAGCTCCCTTTCCCGGCCGCCGCCCCCTCTTTCATCTGGGTTGTTGTTGTGCTCGGGAGTCGGGACACAAAGTCGTTCTCCCTCCGCCTGCCATGAACCGCGCAGCTCCGAAGTCATGAGCTCCACCGCATCCCCCGCCCCCTGGATACCCCGGGCCTCCTTGCGCGCCCCCTTCTGCCATAAGAACACGAGGAGAGCCTGCGGGCCAGGCCAGTGGCCCACCTCGTCCAGCATCCTCACAGGGGCCAAATACTCCTAAAAACCTAGGGATCGAGATAGACTGCCTGTGGAGCTGGGGGTTCCCTAAGAATCTCAGAGGAGCCCGTCTAGTCCAGCCCCCTGGCTGCCCAGTGGCCAACCGGGTGCCCCGGGGAGGCTGCCAGGCAGGACCCGAGCGCAAGAGCCTCTCTCTCCGCCTGCTCTGCCCTGCATTGCTGCTGCTGCCTCGGACTGGAGACGGAGCAGAGCCATCCTGGCCAGTAGCCTTCCCAAGCCCTCTCCGCCTCCATGAATTTGCCTCATCCAAGTTGGGACCCACCATCGCGTCCTGCGGGAGGGAGTTCCGCGGTTTCCCTCGGCGCTGCCCGGGGCCGCCCACCCGCTGCCCCCGCCTCCCGTCGGGTCGCTCCTCTCGCAGCGGCTCCGGGCCCTCGACGGGGCTGCCAGCGCCGCGGTTCTCCTCGCCTCCAGAGCTGAAAGACCTCCCCGCGCCGGAGTCCCGGGGGCGCCTCCAGAAGCCGCGCAGGGAACTGCTCACCTGTGCAGGTCCCGGGCAGAAATGCCGCCCGTCCTCCGCCGCCGCGTCCTGCGTAGCCCGCGGGGTCCCAGCCCCAAAGAGAGCGACCCGGGAACAGCCCCCGCCGTCGGGGAGACGCAGCTCGCTCCGCTTTTGCTCGGGAGTTTCCTCGCGCTTTGCTCGGCGCATGAAAGGCAGAGCGGGGCGCTGAGGGCAGGCGACCTCGCCCAGAAAAGGTGGCGACGCCGAACTCGCCCAGGTCCTACCTGAGCAGGTATCAGGGACCGCAGGAACCGGCACCGCGGACTCGCTCCTGGACGGGAGGCGGTCCTGCGCTGCGCCCCGTGGCGGCGCATTTCGGAACCAGCGGTAGCCTATTAGAGCAGGGCTTGTGGCGCCCCCTGCCGCCTGGAGAAGCCCCTGCTCAACGGAGCAGCATCTCGGCAGATAAAGGCCAAAGGTGAGCGTCAGGAGCGGCCCTTCTTCCCCCGACATGTTGAGGCTGGACATTTTCTCCCACTTCCTCCCACTCCCAGGGCGGCTCAGCAACGCAACTGGTTGGCTCCGGCGGAGACGAGCTCTTTCTCCTTCGAGGAGCCGCCATCCCTCCAGGCGATGAGAGTCTGCGTCCGACCCTGTGATTCTCTGAAGGGCTCTCAGTCCCCTCCCCCCCCCCAATCTATTAACGTGGCTCGTTTCCCTCCCATTCTGCATCCTGCAGCCGACATCTCTGGTGAGTTCGAGAGTCTCTCTCTGAGTTCTATTTCTTGTCCCCAGATCTAGCCTCACCAACGCCTTTCTGGAGAAGAGCGCTAAAAGCAAGGAGATCCACTCTGTAGTCCGTGTGATGGGAAGGTAAACTGGATTCCAGGGCAGGAACAGGAATCTGACCGGGAAAGAATCAGGGGAAGATTTGGTCAGGTAGGAGCAGGAAAGGAAGGAGTCAGGAAGGAAGGAAACCCCCCATGGGGTCAAAAGCTTCAAAGCAGACCAGCCTCCCTCAGAAAGGAAGGTTCCCAGGGGTCATTCTGCATTCTTGATGGCAGTGCTTTTTTTCTAAAGAAAATGTTTAGGGGTCCTCTCATTTTCCTACTCATATTGAAATACTGCCCCTCAATGATACCAAACTTAAATTCACAAAATGTTTAGTGGTATTCATGTCCCCCCAGAAAAAAGCACTGCTTGTTGGACAATGACAGTCTTCCCCTTCAGTTTGTCCCGGCAAATTGGACTGAACTGAGGAGACAGGCTGCCTTTTCAGAGAAAAATGATAAATTCCTTGCTAGAGAGAAAGGTGGGTAGGAGGGATCTGTTGTGCCCCTTCCTTTGCCTTCTCCCAGCAACGCTGTGATCATGCTGTGTGTACACGCATGCACACACACACACGTGCGCAACCTCAATAAAGCCAGGCAGTCCCCAACCAATAAAGTGCTGACTGGCCACTGGCCACCTGCCTCAGTGGGTGCTTGGACCTCAGTCTCACTCACCAGGCAGACTATACTGCTATATCAGGCAAAAAAGAAAGGAACAATCCCTCTTGCACCCAGCAAGTTGGAACATTAGGACCATGTGTTCTGGCTTGTTTGCTGACTTGCTGCAGGTCAGTGACTCATGGAAGATGAACATCACTGACCATGAGCTGAAAACACTCAACATGGACATTGCTGCTCTACAGGAGACCAGACTTGCTTCGAATGGCAGCCTCAGAGAAAAGAACTGCACCTTTTGTGGTCAGGAGGGCATCCCAAAGAACCACACATTCACGGTGTGAGATTGGGAGCAAAGCACTCCCTTCTGTCTGCGATAGAACTGCCAGCTGAGGGCTCAGAATGCTTGCCTTCTCTCCATCTCTCAACTACCTCCACTCCAGTTAACATATTGAGTGTTTACACTCTGTGTGCTCTGATATACAGATCAAGGACAAGTTCTGCGAGGAACTAGACTGCAAACACCTTCTCGGTGGTGGTGACCACCCTGTAGAACACCCTCCCATCAGATGTCAAAGAAATAAACAACTCTCTGACTTTTAGAAGACATCTGAAGGCAGCCCAGTTTAGGGAAGTTTTTAATGTTTGAAGTTTTATTCTGTTTTTAGTGTTCTGCTGGGAGCAGAGTGGCTGGGGAAAGCCAAGCAGATGGGCGGGGTATAAATAAGAAAATTATTATTATTATTACTAGTCCTGCTGGGAGAAGTCGTCACAGCTGGGATAACCGCAGAGGCCCCCTTGGAGCCTGAACAAGAACGGAGAAAGGCTACCTGAACTGTGCTCCTACCACAGCCTCTGCATCACAAACATGATCTGCTCTTCCAAGGCAAAAGACTGAGTGGCCTGGAGACAGCTTAGATGTCAGGTGCCTGGCACCAGCTGCACTGGCACCAGGCGATTGCACTGAACTGTGTTAATGCCACACAGAGCTACCACAGCACCAACTGTGACATGGTCACGCCCTGGTGGCCAGCAAAGAGGACCTCTAGCCACTCTCAGGTTCTGCACATTGGCAGGAAGAACCAGCTGCACCAATATAGCATGAGGGAAAAGGATCTAGGGATCTTAGTAGACTACAAGCTTAACATGAGTCAACCTGAGAGTGATGCAGCGGCAAAAAATGCTAATGCTATTTTAGGCTACAACAACAAAAGTGTCCAGATCAATGGAAGACAATAACACAATGAAATTCAAAACAGTAACAAATTATTGCACATTTATTCAAAATCTATGAAAAACTCCCCCCCCCCTCTATTCTCTTCCAGTTCTTTTTCCTCTTTCCACCAAGCGGTTCTCATTCCCTTGACCAGGCTCTGGAATTCCGCTTTGAGTTCCAGGAGCTTCAGACTCAGAAGTCTTCACAAGTGGGCAATCATGTGGTCCACGATTTAGTAGAATTTCACTCCCTGATCTTTGTGACACAGTAGAAATCCCGTCTCTGCCTTCAATCAACTCAACGCTGAGACACATGGAGTTACACAGGGAATAGATCATCTATCCTAAGGAACTGAAAACCCAAAAATCCATGATATCTTTTGAGGCAAAATAATGCTATCAATTTTCGGATCTCTTTCTGTCTTGCCCTGCCCTGTCTTTTGCCAAAAGAAAGGTGGCAACCCTGTGCCCAGACAGCAAGACTCAGCCTCCCTGAGGTGGTCCAAAGGAAAGAAGATCAAGGCATAAGCAGCCGGCTTGGCTGCAGGAGTTGCCAGAAGGAGGCCTACAAAATGCCACCCCACCATCTTCAGGACTCCACTCTGGATCTGTGTAGTCAAGAGTTCCATGTATCTGATACACAAAATATGATTATGCTCGGCTGACGAAGCCCAGCAGGGCGAAACAAGGTATTATTCAGGCAATCCTTGTCACACTGAAGTTCTTTCGTCTGATACTGGCATACAACAACTATATTTTGCAAAGGCACATGTTAAGATCTTCCGTATACATCATCTGATACCTGCATACAGCAGCTGTGTACAACAGCCATACTTTGCAAAGGCAGATGTGGAACATCACAAGGAAAAGTTTATCTTTTGCAAGTACTGCTTCTTAAAGTTACGTTTGACTGGTATTCGCTGAGACATACCAGTACATGGAGCACAAAAAGCTTTTATTTGGACATTAAGTATATAAGAACTGATCTATTTGTATTTCCTGTTCTAAATGTTGGTCCTTAATTGCTTCTACTTAACTAGATAATGTGGAAAGAGCTATGTTTATATGATGTATAAAAAATTTATATAGTGTCAGGGAAAAATCTAGGTGTGAGGCTGCTCAGTCCCCCAGCTGGTCGGGCAGAGCCCACGAGTCCCTGCGGAATAAAGGAAGGAGTCCAGCCACCAACCGGAGGAAATAGCTGTAGACCAAAGTTTATTGCGCAACAGGTTCAAAGAGGAATTTTGAACCCCAAGGATGGGGTGACAAGGACTTTTAAAACTTTCCCACCACATCCCAGAATACAGTTCGAAGGGGAGGGGTTAACCTTGGCAAACATGTCCAGACAAGTCCTTGGTACAAGATTAGCATAAGCAGACATGTCAGGGCAAGACTCAGGTATAAGATTAGCATAGACAAGACACCACCCAAAAGTACAATAGAAGTTCCTTTGCATGTCTGGAGCCTGAGGCGAGTCAGGTGATGAGATTTGGCCTCCTTTGGCTAACAATGAGCCCAGCAATTGTCACCTCTGGGAACTTCCTGGAGTCCTTTGCAAGGGGAAAATAGCTTTGGAATGGGGGAACTGGGAAAGGAGATGATTTAATATTATTTTAAAAGCTAGGTGACTTCTCTGAGCTGTCAAGTTGGAAGGATATATTCAGGCATAATATTAGTAATATTTAACTTTAAAGATGTGCCCCCCCCCCCCCGTAATTTCCGTAACAATAGTTAAACACAGCCAGTTACATTGTGGGTTTACTCTGGAGCCTTTTCTTTGTTAACGGAAAAATCCGAGGGCTGCCTTGGACAAAAACAAAGACACCAACCAGGATAACTTGGAGCAAAACAGCAGCCTGTAGGCTTGGCCTTTATTGAACTGTTGAACAGGGTGTTCCCCTCACTTGCAAGAGAGAGGAAAAGACACAGAAAAATGGTGTGCAAGACCTTATAAAAACTTTTGAAATTCCCATCCTCTAGGTCAAGCCCACCCCCAGAAACATCATACATACATCACAGAAAGGAGGGGTTGCGGGAGGAGTTGTGGTGATAACCTGAGTGTCCTGTCACCTGGCTGGTTCCCCCTTTCCCCCTCCCCATGAGTACTTTCCAGGTGACAGAGGGGAGTTTGCAGTTTCCTGCCCCCAGAGGGAAGAGCTGATTATTGTCCTTTGTTCCAGTCTGTGCTGAATCCACTCCCATATGCAAGTTCTTTGTGACATTGATGGTCTTCTGTCTAGGACCATCAGGGTTGGCATAGCAACTGGGCAGGGCTCCTGTGGATGTGCTGGTATGCTGAAGGGATTATGGCTGCCCTGTATCAAACCTTCCCCATTTTGTAGTCCTTCCTTCATGGAGCAAAATAAAAGTGGAACAGTGCAAATCCGATGTATGGTTGATTTTCTATGAATTTATAACAGAAGTGTAGCGTATGTAGTGTGTGAGTGTGAGTGTGTGTGAAGTTTGTACAAACTGAATGATTGGGGGGGGGGGAGGTTTCCTGCGACATCTTCTCCTGAAGCAAGGCAGCGGAGGTTGAGAATCAGAATTCTCCTCAATGGGATCCTCGAGTTCTCCCCATCGCCCCTCACTTCCCTCTACAGAATGTGCCCCTCCCTCACCAAGGGTTTGAGACCCATTGGCTCCCCTTCCCTGGTTGCCTGGCCTCTTCTCCCTCTGACCGCTCATCCTTCCTCCACCTCCACTCCTTCGGCTCTGAGCCGTCTTCCCTTCCTGGTTCCCCGGCTGCTTCCTCCCACCATTCCTCTGTGCCCAACCAGTCCATGACATTGCTCCATCCCTCGGCCTCTGTCCCCACAAGGCAGCTTCCCCTGACCTGATCTGGTTCCACAG